TCTTATGCTTAATTAAGTTTATGTATGTTATACTTTGCGCAACTTTGTAATTTGACTTTACTCTGAACAAGGTGCTGTATACGTTGCACTACCAAAAACGCGACCGTTTGCTTGCACACAACTGCCTCTTCGTCAGACGCTTCCTCTTCCCGCGGCAGTTTCACGAGCCCAGTCTTGCAAGCTACGACGTAGGCTTTCGGTGCTTTCAGTTACTGCAATGCAGCCACGCAATAGTCCAGCCTGCATGCCGCGTGCGGCTGTGGCCAACATGCCCACCTGCGCAACGCGCTGGCGCACCTCGTCCTTTCTCCACGAAAATTTATATACACTTATACAGGCGCATTTTGCGAATCGCACGCGCGCATCCGCGCGGCAAAATTCGCTCCTGGCTTTTTTGGACGATGTACGAACCGTTTATTCGGCAGAGTACGACCGCTCACATTTGTGCGAGGGGCTGCTTAACAAGTCCTTATTAAAATCGATCGTCCGCTCCGCGCTCTCATGATTGTTACCATCCATTGAACCACACTTTCAATCACATTACTCCATTGTCATCACCTTCTCAGGACCGCATAGTTTTGCACACTTCGCGAATGTCGCGACCTCTTTCCCTCCCGATAGACACCGACTAATAAATCCTTTGGCACAAGAGAAACAACACAGCAAACGCACTCCTAGCAGACCACAGCACACTCCGGCCAGCCCATTTTGCCTCTGCTTCTTATGCACGAGGGAGAGGAGAGATGGCAACAAGGGAAAAAAACAAGTAAAGAGCAAAAGGAGGGATGCGCGTGTGTACTGCATACGCTCAACTTATCCGCCGCACGCCTCTATTACCGCCGCCGCCGCCGCCGTACGTCTTTTCCATAATTTGCTCGCAAACACTATATCAGAGCGCGAAATTAGAAGCACAGTCAAAACGCCATCACGTTTCCTCAAAAAGGACGACATATACAGACGAAACAACGCAAAAGTCCATGCCATGGAAAGAATTCTCTTGCTCAAACAAAAGACGCAGCACCCTCGGAACGCTGTACGTGTACACATGGGGGTTTGATCTGGAAGCTCCCCCCCTACATCCTCAGATATACTACCCACTACACCCGAGCGACATACCTCCCCCTTCCCACGGGTGGCTGCCATGTAATTCTTTGCGGCCAAACTCCAAAAGACACCACAGGCGAAGAAGCGCGACATGGCTGCGGCGATTCAAGACACCCCCCAATCACCATCCTAAGATCCCATCGCAAACCCTGTCTAACGACAATATTTACGCAATCCTCAGATTGCAAGCTAAAAACGAAAGACATTGGCCAGAGTGTAGTAACAATGTGTAACTAAAGACAAGGGCACGACAGCAACATAAAGCTACAGGGCGAGGTGGATTCACCACGGCTTCTTGTATACCGATGCCGTACTCATTACGCAGCACAAACCATAATGCAGCGCATGTACAGAAACGCAATTGATGCACGCCGCCGTAATCCAACATGAAAATGACATTTCAATCCCACACGCGCCCGCCATGCAGGTGCCGTACACAAACAAGAATCTTGGCAATGTCTAAAATGGAATACGTAACCAGTACTGCTGATTAATACGGCGTCGTTCCGTACGATGACGGCTGACCGACGACGACATTTCGCCGTAGATTTATCAATTCGTTTCCCTACAATTTTTTGGGGTCTCTAATCGTACATACAACACACCACTTGCGCGTGAACCATTTGAGCGTGAAGAGGCCAACCCAACCCAACTTTTTGCTCTTCTGCTTTACGTTTCTCCTTCTTCTTAACCCCTCTTCTACATAAACCGATGCTCATGCATGCGCCCATTTATCTCTTTTTCTTCCCTGCCGATGCCCAAGTGTTCCGACGTCGTAATCACCGCCCTGCAGCTGAGTCCATCACACATATCGGTCACCAATGCACAGATCCACACAGCCCTGCCAGCCGCCTAACCGCCAGCCGTTCACGCCACCTCTTCAAACACAGCTCCTCAACCCTAAGGACCCTTACAATTTTTATTAACCTCCACAACGACCCAACACCTATTTTACCTCTTGTCCTTTTCCTTCTCCCTCTTAATCTTCACGTATTTTTCTCATTCTGTACAAGAAGTCGGTTATCTATCCGCACCTCACTGCAAAGATCCACCCCAGGAACTTAAACAATGGCCAGCTGCGGCGGAATAACACCACTACCGTTGCCATTACCGTTGCCGTTACCGTTACTGGGACCGGGCCCGCCGTCCATGCTTTGCGTGGGCGTGCTATCGGCGCTCTGGCGGTTGCCCCGGCGAAGCCTGCTGGCCTGGATGGACGTGACGCAGATGGTGTTGACGATGTCGGGGACGGTGCACCCGCGAGACAGGTCGTTCACCGGCTTGAGCAGACCCTGTGCGAGTGTTCGTGCGTGTGTTCGGGCACGTAATGTTTTTGTTCGTGCGTGTGTTCGTGTGTGCCGGGAGGGAGAACATCACACGACGCAAAGGTTATACGTAGAATGGTCAAGTGCGTGACCATCTAACAAAACGCACAGGCCAGGGAAGGTAAGGCTGCAAGCACAAAGGGCAAAAGAGTGGGGACAAGTTGACGTTTAAGAAACGGCAAAGCATGGCCTACTTGTAGATGCTTCAGTGTTTCTCGATTGCAAGCAGTCGGAAAGATTTGAGACATGGAAGTCCTCAGGCATAACCTGCGGAGTCCTGTAACCTGCGCGTCGACTTCCTTCCCGGCTCTGCCCATGCGTGCCCCTTACCAGTGCCCGAACCCGAACCCGAGCCCGGAAATATCCCCTCCCCCATGCTCCTCTTGACTCCTACTACTCTGCTCCCCGGCAGACTCCCTCACCCCAACTGCCAGGGTTCACTCACCCAGCTCCCCACCCACCCACCCACCCCACACAGGTACCTGCATGATGGGGCCCATGGCGATGGCTCCCGAGCTTTGCTGCACTGCCTTATACGTGTTGTTGCCTAAAGAGAGGGCGGGTGCAGGACGAGGGAGGAGAGGGCCGTACGAGGGGGAAATGGCGGGAGAGAATGAGATGACAGCGCAATCCATTTGGCCAACGCCATCCACCATACCAGGACAGGTACAGACGTTCATCCTCTGCGCCGTTCATCCTTTCATCGTACTACATCCATCGTACTACATTTTCCGAAAATCCTGTTCAAGGTCTGACACTGACACGCCGCAACACCCCCCGGCAACCCCGGCCCTTCAAGGCGGGGACCCACCGGTGTTTAGATCCGGGAACACAAACACCGTAGCCTTGCCCGCCACTTCACTGCCGCCAGTAACCTTGACTGCTGCCACCTGACGGGAGTGTACGACGGAGTTTGCACGGCGACTTTCGAGTAGGCAGGCAGGTAGGTAAGACATGTTAAAAGTAGGTAATTGGGAGCAAAAGATGTGTCCCGCTCTTTTCCACACGATGCACCCCAGCAACGTTAGGATGTTCTGGCACTGTCAGCCAGAGCAAGAGTACGGCAAGATATCCCTCCTTTTGAAAAGTACCGCCACCACGCGTCCGCAGCAGGGCACCACAGCTGTTTGCAGAATGGGGTTCCCCTCCGACTGAGGTTGGAATATACATACATATGTATATAATATGTCAGAAATATGAAAAGTGATGTGTATGTAAAACATAACCGCCAGAAGAGAACAAAAGGCCCTAAGCGCCGCCATCCCTTTCGGCCTCTGTGGGGAGACCTCCCGCACCTTGGGGTCGATAGCCGCGTCGTACTGGATGGGTCCCTCGATTTTCAAGTCGGGTCGGCGGGCCTTGGCCAGTGCAACCGCCTCCTCCACCTTCAGGACCTGCGCAACCACCATCCCAACCACCAACCACCAACCAACAACCAGGCTGTTCTTCATTCGATTGCAACGGCGCAGCACAACATCGCAAAGCATAGCAGCAAATCGTATCAATAGAAACATTACAGCACATCCGGGCACCACATTTTGCCCAAGGAAATCGCAACCTTCCCCAAAGCGGTAGGGGCGCCAACACACGGTTTCACCCCTACTCACATCCGGACCGGTTCCGGAGCCCAGTGTCGAGTACGACAACATGGCCACTCGTGGCTCGATGCCAAACGCGGCGGCGGTGTCGGCGGAGGTGATGGCGATGGTGGCCAGCTCCGCGGCGGTGGGGTTGACGTTCACGGCGCAGTCGCCGTACACCACCACCTGAGTGGCGCCGGCGGGGAAACACGGCACACGCGGCGGGGGATGGGGTGGGCGGCTTGAGGCGGCAGATGGAGCTCAGGAGCGACAAGAGAGGCATCAAACGCCATGTAGGCGCAACACCCTCCCTCCGTCCCCCATCCCTCTGCCCTCCCCTCCCCTCCCTTCCCCTGCACATACCCTGTCAGGCAAACACATGATGAAGACCGACGACACCAGGGGAGAGTCCGCGCTCTTGAGCACCTGTGCGCGTGTGTGTATGTACGTATGTGTGTGTAGCGGGGTGCCGGCGGGGAAGACGTTAATGCAAGGAAGTGGCGTGCGCGTGTGTGTATTGAATGGCAGGCTGGGAGTGATTGGAACCTGGAGCGGAGGTTCAGGCCATTGCAGCGAGGAACACAGGAGGATTAGGAGGACAAGCGATGGTTCCCCTCTCTTGCTATCTCCCCTCGCGTACACAACGGTCCGGGGGCTCCTTTTATAGCACTGCATGCAAATGCCCCGAAGCCATGCAACGCAACACAAAGTCCCAAACGTCGCTAATGGCACAAAATGCACAAAATAACCCTCAACAATCTTGTGCGATTAGAGCAACACAGCACATCAGCCATCAGCCAGCCCCATCCAAGGCTGGCCCCGTCGCCCATACACTACATACATACACACATACGAACCTGCATCGCTGGTCTGACAGTCGAGGCGGTTGTGTGGCAGGCTCCCGATACCATACCGTCCGCATCCCCCGCCGCGATCATCATCGTGGCATAAAAATTCATGTCGCCTGAACAGCGAGCGGGGCAGACAAGCTGACATGCACGTAGGCACATACAGATAAATGTACAGACAAAGCAGAGGGAGCCTAAAAAAGATACAGCCAAGGGGGGTTTGGCGGAACGGCGCGGAAGAAAAGGAAGGCAACCCTGTCCTGACGTAGTGGTAGGCAAACCTAGGTGGCACGACGAAAACCCTGTACAGCCCTAGGACCTCAAGGAAAACTATGAACCATACCCACAAAATTCCCCATACCCACCACTACATTTACATATACATATGCATACATACATACATACACACCAGTTCCTTCCCGCGGCTCAAGAGCACTAGAACACGTACATACATACCTACGTACATACACACACTTACCGTGTAGTGTATCCAGCGCCCGGTCCGGAGTCATGCCCTTGTGCTTCCGAAGCTCCACCAGCAACTCAGCGTACGCATCAAAGCGACCCGCGGTCTGTGCGCATGTACGTATGTATGTATACGCGGCCATCGCCGTCAGAAGGTAGGTAGGTAGGTGAGTAGGTAGGTAGGTGGTGATGGAGGAGGTGACGATAGGGGAAAGGGGGTAGCGCGGACTGACCGTATGAGACGGTAATTGCAGTGGCAATTGCGCATCTGCTACAGCATCTGCTACAGAAGTAGCAGAGGGTTAATAAACAAAGGGCCACCGACGCGCCCCAAACACCAACGGGAGGTATCGGAATGTGCTTCAAGCTGGTAAACTGGGTGGCTAGGTACGGTGCGGACGGTACGGTACGGTACGGTGGAATGGCTGTGGTTAGCTGCGCGGCGCGACCCTTTTCCATGGCCCACGGCCCCCTTCCAGTGTCCCCTCCGTCCTTACGTTGGGGTTGTGGATGTTGCACTGGGACAGGTCCAGTCCCAGCTTGGCCGCCTCCGCCGTGATGGTGGTGGGGTCACCCAGCAAGGTGATCTTGGCCAGGCCCCGCGTGGTCACATCGGCAGCAGCAGCCAACACGCGCTTGTCATCGGACTCGGGCAGGATGATGTGCTGGGGGTTCTCCCTGTGTGCGTGCGTGCGTGCGTGTGTGTTTTTTTTGGGGGGGGGGGGGAAAGAGGGAGAAGGATCAGGGGAGGTACCGGGATATGAAGAGGACAAAACATACCCTGAATTCTAGAGGTTTCTAATGTATCTCTGAAGATATAAATAGGCTTTATTATTAAGGCTACAAGGGCTACAAGGGTTGTGTCTAGTAAAATATTTTTTTTTATCGAAAGAACATTTAGGAGAGGTGGTTTCGCAAGGCTACGGGTTTTGGTGTGTAGTGGAAGGGCAGGAGATGTCGCCAACAATCGAGTTCATCGCCGGATGGCCCTGCCCTACCCTAACCGCAATACCCTTCCCACCCCCCTCCAGCCCACCTGCACATGGTTTTAAGAGTATGCATGAACATTTTGGGTGTCATCCGCGTGGGCTTGATGCGCTGCAGCTCCGCCACCACCGCGTTGGCGTCCACGTACTGCTCGAATAGTCGCTGCGGGGGGCAGCAGGGCAGGGAGGGAAGGCGAGAAAACGGGTGAAGGCGGGAGAGGAGGGGTTATCAAACCATACGATGCAAGATTTGCAAGCAGGACTAATATTTTCGACGATAGCAGCCCATCGGCGAGAACGGATGTGTGTTGTAAAGGACTGAGCCGCAAAACGGAGCCGCGAGAAGGGGGCGGTTGGAGGAAACCAGATCGGCAACGAAGTTAAAAGGGCGGTGGGGGAAAGACGAACCACACGCGATTGAAGCTGCTGCCAGGGCAAGATAGTAGCAAACGTAAACGGGCGGTGGGGGAGGGGAGGGAAAGACGAACCACACAGGGGAGGGGAGGGAAGCGGGACCAGGTAAAACGTGGCCAGGACACTGAAAAGAATCGCAACGTGTAAACATTGCAACATGGCTTCGCAGATTCTACCTTTGCCTCGAGCCACCTCCCCCCAATCCCCCGCGCACCCAACATCACCACCAATCCCCCGGGGGACCACCTGCCTTGCATTGCGCAATCTTTCGTGAGGAGGAGGGCAGCACAGCCGCGTCCATACTGCCAATCTTAGCCAGCGCCTCTCTAAGCGGCATATCGGTGGACAGCACCGGCAGCAAGCTGCCCTTGTAGAGGCCGCTGTTCACCAGGCCGGCAAAGATGCGGTCAATGGTATCCCTGTGATGCGGGGAGAGGCGAAGGCGTAACGGGGTAACGTCAAATGCAAGAAAAACGAAGTGGCACTTGCCGCGCGGACTGGGATAGGAAGACGGGGGTTTGAGGAGTTGCTGGACAGCAGGTCAGTTCCAAGGTAAGGAAAAACCCCTTGGTGCGGTACCAGTGTGCGGGATTGGCAACTCCCCTGAGGAGCACCTCTCCATGTGTGCGAGGAACAGCATTTTATGAATTAGGGCAGAAGAGCTGCGCATAGTTAAAAGTGGCGAGGATGATGCATGTGACCCCGTGGCGAAGATGGCACACGACGGTCTCACCGCACACAGACAAGAACGCACATACATACATATAAATACATATATACATAAGAAAACGTACGTATGTACGTACGTACGCAAACACACAACGCCTACCTGGCGTAGTTCCTTCCGGACCGCGAGGAGCCCGCCTGCGTGAGCAGCACTCCAGCGACCCCCGGGCCGCTGACGGACAGCTGGGCCGCCAGCAGCCCCAACACAATGTCCAGTCGATCGGCGGAGGTGATGACTAGGGGACTGGAAAGGGGGGAGGGCAGAGGGAGGGGGACCCAAGGGTGGGGATCATATGCAAGGAAATTAGTAATGAGCTGCTGGGAGGCGTGTAAAGTCTGAAACTGCCGGAGTCGTAAGCGATCAAGGCATCGACCCAAGGGTGGGGAGAGATCTTACGATGATGGAAAGGAAGCCAGGAAAAGGCCAAGCTGGCCGACCTTAATGCTGTTGCCAGGAGGCGGAGCTGCGCAAGGGGAGGTGTGCACGTGTGTGCGTGTGTGTGTACTCGTTTTGGGGAAGAAGGCGGGGTGACACATCTGCATTTTGCTGATGAAAGAATCAGTTACAGACGTCTCAAAGCGAGACACATGTATACATACATACACACACATGGGCCCCAGGCTGACCCACCGGCCCCCAGGTCTTTCCCCCAGGATTTCCAGCAGCTCCTCCAACCGCTGGCAGCCAACCACAACGTCGTCAAACTCAACGTCAGTCAGCAGGGAATCGCCGTACAACCGTACGGCCTGCAGGGCCGTCTGCACCTCGTCCAACCTGTAAGGGCAACCATTAGTGCCGTACGCGTAACAACACATGCATTAAACTTGCTATGATAAAATTGAAGTATCTGATGAGACAGGTAACACGGAAATTACAAATGCCAAGCATTAGGGTTTTAGCGTGCTGAAATTCAGCGATAAGCATAAAAAGGAGCTTCTCAATACTGGAGGTAAAAAGGTGATGCACCATACTCCCCCTATCCATGCAAGCCCACGTGCGCGATTCCCCAACACTTAGAAAAACAAGTAGTGCTAACTAAACCCCGTGCAGTCCCAACCCATGAGCATGCATCTGCGTGCCGCCCAAACCCACACGCACGCGCACAGACTTCCCCACCCCACCCCTACCCCACCCCCGCATACCCCCCAGACCCTCTTTCCACCAGCCCCGAAACCACCAGGCTCCCGCTGAAACCACTCCCATTCGCGCACCGGACATTTTTCAGGATGGGGTCCTGTGGAATCGCCCCCGCGAAGGGCAGCCCCGACTGGTTGAACCGGGCCTTTAGTTGGGCAGTCATGAGCGCGTGGCTGTTGCGCGGGAGCTGCGAATATTAGATTTCAAGGATCCAGGACAGGGTGCGAAACCATCAACGCAGCAGGATTGCATGGGTAAATACAATGCACATGCGGTTCTATTTTTTTAGGTACTACTTGCACATTACATGTAACTACCGGAATTGCACATAGGGGTTTAATATATTGTTAATAAAATGCATGGGCGTAATTCGTTAGGGTTCCGGACGCAGAAAGGAGAAAAATGCTTGGGACTGGAATTGAACTGATAGGCTGTAGCAGCAGCAGCAGCAGTGACAGCAGTAGTAGCTATAGCAGCAGCGCTCGGCACTCACCCCGTTCATGACGAGACCCAGCACCTCAACCTTGTGGTCCAAAAACACCTGCCGCTTTACCATCTGTGCGGGGTGAGGCGCAACGGTCAACGTGCAAGGACCGGGGGGGAGATGAGCAAGAACGGTCACAATGGTTGGGGCATAAATAAATGATCAACAACAATAAAAGAAAGGTGCAGGGCTCCAGCAGGCTAAACAACGACAACCTAGCTACTCGTTCCCACAACTTCCTCTCAACATTAATAAGTACGGGCAACGCGCCATATTCACGCGCCACTTTCATCGTTTGAATCACAAATATTTAGCAAAAGGAGAAAAGCTACTTAAAAGCAATTAATAAACCAGCCGGACGTACACTCAACGTGTAAAATGCACACGCGCAATCCTGCCGTGCCCCAGATTCCTTCCCCCATCCTGCCCCCAGGCGTGCTCTCTCCCCCACCTCTCGCCCTGCTTACCGCCCGGTTGTAGTAATCTGAAACGCTGCAGTTGGGAGATCCCGTCATGGTCATGAGCACGGGGGCGTTAATGGTGGCAGCGATCTGGAGTGGGCGTGGGTTGAGGTAGGTCATATAGAAGGATGTGAGGAGGAAAAGGATGGGATGCCTTGCGGATCATGGGACAGAGGGGAAATTCAATTTGCCGTTGACAACATTCTTTCCTACCCTTCCCGTCGCCCCAATACAGCATCCTCCGTTCCGGGGGTTCATCCCAGAGCCCCTCTTCCCTATATTCCAAACCCCACCCCGCGATCAGCCAATAAAAAACAAACTAAAACCCCGACCCTACATGTTTAACCCTTCTCCTGGTAAAACCCCTCCTTCAAGCGAAACCCCTCCTTCAAGCAGAGGGCCCCTCCTTCAAGCAGAGGAGATAAACCCTCCCTTTCCTATATAGCTCCAACCAGCCACCCTCCACCCTGTGGCATTAACCTCACCTGCGCATCCAGCTCCGTACCGCCCATGAGCGGGCCCGGGCCCTCTACCAACACCAAGTCGTGACCCTCCTTGTACGATACAAAGTTTGCGTAAATCCGGTCCAAGAGCTCACTGTGCTGACCGTTTGCTATCATCTGTAATAACGCCAGCAGCAGCAGCAGCAGCAGCATCGTCACCGCCGCCACGCACCAGCAGGGGGCAGTTGATTGAAGAAAATCAGGAAAAGAAATACCGAAGGAAAGGAAATGAGAGAAGAAAAGAACCATGGCGCAACACTGGCGTTGTAACACTCCCACGTAGCTCCTCAGCCTGCGCCGTGCTCCGGCCACCAATCAACCCCCCTGTCGACACACATCCTCAGCACAACCTAACGCCCATTTCACATATTCGTGCCGGACGCCGTGTAACGCCATATCAACAACCAAATCCCCCCTTTTAAATGGCACATTCTTCCACGTAGTAAGACCAAGCCCAAGCCACATTACATTACATTACATCACCCGGCCCCTCTCACTCCACGTACCCGTGCCGCCTCCGCGTCCTGCACACCGGTCATGCGGGTGGCGTCCCCCTTGAGATTGAACACCTTGTACACTCTGGCGATAAGCGGTGGTCGTGGTGTGGGAATCATATACAGTGATGACAAGAAAGTCAAAGCACCAACAGCCGACATTCCAGCACAAGAGCAAGGGGCGAGGAAAATGTGAGCAGAGAGAAAAATATTCAATATCAATATCAGACGCTCTCACAGCAACATTGACTGGACAAGTCCTAAGCAACCGAGTAACTGGCACCGTAGTTGCCTAATAAACAGATGCCAGCAGAACAAAGAATCCAATGCCGACGCACAACTGCCGCTGAGTCCAAAACAATCTAGGTAACGGCTTGTTGCTTCTGGAAACTGTGTTGGGTGGGAGACTGTGGCCAAATCCTGACAGCATGAAGGACGTGTGCGCTCCCAGGACCAAAGTTCCCTACGGACCCAGATCACCAGATGACCCACATGACCCAAATCACCCAAATGCCCTATGACCCAGATCGCCCTGTGGACAATATGCGCTCTCCACACCAAGATGGGCTGTTTGTGGGAAGGAACCACTCCGCAGGCGAGCACGTAATCCGTGGGACAAGCAGGTTGGTCTTAAGAGGCATCCCAACGTGCATGCACACTATGCCACCTGACCCAAGTCGCCTCTCCTCCAACGACATCCATGACCAATTTGTTCTTTTGCTATTAGTCCCCCTCCTTTTTCCCTCACCCCTGAGATTGAAAGGCATAACTCTTTCGGAGCCAGCTAAGGTCCCTTGATGGAAATGTTGCTGTGTGCACATCATGTAAAACCTTCCGATACCCACATACTCGTTTTTCTCATGGCCCGTTGGCCCCAGATCCCATCCCGCTATCGATCATTATCCACCCAGTAAAGGAAAAGGGAAAGGCTTTTGGATTTGGCTGTTCAGTCTTCAGTGAGTACTTACAGCTCCACATGCCGGTCGATCTTCAGCTCAGAAGAAGCCAAAGCCTCATGGGCTATGGGCTCGAAAAAGCCTACGTGCGGCAGATGGCGCTCAAAGTAGTTGAAGAAGCCCAGGAGCAACGGTGTGCGCTGGCCAATGAGCGAGATGTCCGACAGGAAAAGGCTTTGCAGGCCGCTATTGCTGCTTTGCTTGCTGCTGCTCCTGGAAGCCCTTGCAATAGGTGCAACGGCACTATAAGACCGACGATGCAAAATCCGGCCGGCGGGCGGCAGGGCGGCCCTGCGCGTTAGGGCCGATTCAGGAATGAAAGAAGCTGCAGGAGAACCACGTGAAAAGCGACAATTCAGCTTATCTGTGCATAAAATTAACTAAGATGGCGCTTCAAGCGCATGCCTAAAGTCTCCAGCCAGACGCGCACAACCCCTGTCAACGCATCTTTGCCAACTGTCTAACGCTTTCAACGATCATAGCGATACACGTCCATGAATTATATCGAAATAAGTTATCCCCGAAATTCAGCAGTTCATCCGCACTAGGAAACCAGAGCTTAGCTTCTTACCCCCAGTGTCGGAGTCGCATGGACGGCAACGCTGAAGGTGAGCAGCCATAGCGATGCGAGAGGCTGCCGCACGTTGACATCTTGTCCTACTATATTTTTAGATTCCGCACAAGTATGCCGGCCCTCCTTGAAAGGTTCCTGACTCGTGTTTACCTAATTTGAAAGCTGATTTCACAAGCTTGGAAATTTAGCTACAGTTGTAAAAACCCAAGCACAACTTGACGGCAACGTTGCATGAATCTTTGTCATCTGGCGGTACTTCCGGGACGTTGTCGTACCGTTCACCTAAAAGTTTTGAAAGGGAAACCCTAAGAGTTACTTCTGTAAGAATTCGTAATAGATTTTCTGTGAAATTGTCGTTACCTCTGGAAAAGGTCCAACCTGTGTTTGAAGCTTGGAAAGGTCCCCGTCTAAACTTCGTCATCTGTTAGTATTGGCTCCGGGCCTGCTGGAATCTCTTCGTAGCATCTTTAAGTCTCTGTGTTCTATAAATTAAACATGCTAACCAGCCGTCCGCCAATTGGGCAGATCCCGACACATAGCAACATTTCCGGGACGGTGCTGCCTCCAAAGTTGCTTGTCCTTAATGCAGGCAGCTCCAGCCTGAAATTCAAAATTTTTGGGGTGAATCCCTTGATTGCCGGCATGAGCGGCATGTTTGACCGGATTGGTGAGGATCCCGACATGCCATCCTCAGCGACAACCTGACCGACCCACATGACGGCCTTCTCCCAATCCTATCTTTACACGTGAACCACATGATCATAATTCGCAGGTGACTCTGCGAACTGCACGCTCAAGGCCTCCTCACCCGACCCTCTGGGCGGCAAGTCGCGCAAATGGGAACTCAAGCTGCCTGCCGCAGACCATACCTGCGCGCTGCAAGAAATCCTCGACTTTATTTCTGACAACGTATCTGGAAGCTTCTCTAATGAAGTTGTTGCTGTTGGGCACCGCATCGTACACGGTCTGGACATTAGCGCGCCAGTCCTTCTGGACTCCGTAGCCCTGGAGCGCATCCGGGAGGCTGCCGTTTTTGCGCCACTACACAACCCGGCGGGGCTGCAGGGCATTGAGGCAGCGCAGAATGTGTTTTCGGGTGTACCGCAGGTGCGGGGCGGGGTCCAACCATTTGGGTTCTTGCATGGGAAAAGGGATGTATCTTTTTTTGAAGCCCGACTTGTAATGGGCATCCTTGACTTGGCCGTCGTGCGGCGTACGAGTACGGTGCGTAACCACATCTGTACTTCACTTGTGCATGTATGTTAGCACTCGTGTTTGGAATTTGTTTTACACTTGATCAGTGATTCTTTAAAAACGTGTTTACATAGTTGTATAAACGCTCCTGCGGGACACAGGTGGCGGTCTTCGATACGGCGTTCCATGCCACCATGCCCCCTCACGCCTACATGTACGGCATTCCGTACGATTTGTACGATAAGCACCATATTCGTCGGTACGGCTTCCACGGCACCAGTCACAAGTACCTTGTGGAGCAAGCGGCGGGTGGGTGGGTGATGCATGCACTGGAGGGAAGATTCAAGAGCTTTTGTCGCAGTCATCCCTTAATGTTGTCCCTCGCCTCATTATTAGGGTTGGCTGGTTTATGGCCGGTTTCCGAATCCCATGTACGACCTTCATGTACGACTATGTATGACGACTATGTAAACCCCTCACTTCACCTTTCACGTCCTTTCCCCGCATCTCCTCTCTCGCCCCCCAGCCATGCTGGGCAAGGACGTCTCCGAAACCAATGTCATCACTTGTCACTTAGGTGAGCTGTGGAGGTAAGGGCGTGATGGAGGGACTTTGCGAAGATGTGAGGTAACCCTAAGTTGTTTTTCATACAGACACCAGCGGCGTTTCGAAACGTCAAACAGACACATAAAACACACATATAATACATACGCAAACATACAAAGAAACACACCACACGACCCGCACTAGTGTGTATCGTCTGTTCCACGCATGTAAGCAACGTCATCCTTCTCCTCCACCGCCACCATCTCCTCTTCCTCATTCTCCTTCACCTCCTCTCATTCCTTTCACTCGTGCCTCTGCCCCGCTCTCCCACTCTTATCCTCTCGCCTTTATATCCCCGCTCTCTCACCCATCCCTCCCCGCTACCTGCTACCGGCTGCAGGTAACGGCAGCAGTGTGGCGGCTGTTCGGGGTGGTCGGTGCGTGGACACCAGCATGGGCATGACACCGTTAGAGGGGTGAGGAGGGGCGAGTATATGCCAACCTGGCAGGCATTATGCGTGTGTGTGTTATAGTGAGCTTAAAGTGTGTGTATAGTATGTGAGTGATTTTCCTTTTTGACTTGGCCTATCATATTAAGATGGAAAATACTAGCCGGCGCCTCCTCCCTAGTTGCACCCGGGGGGAAGGGCCACGCGAGGGGAGGGGCTGACAAGGGGTTCTGACGGGGGGGGGGTTGTCGCTCTGTAGAGAGTCTATGTGTGTGCGTGTGTGTGTGTGTGTGTGTGAAGGGGGGGGGTGTCCGCAACGGACATCTGTGTCTGGTGATGATGTTGGGCTGTGGGCTGTGGGCGGTGGCCTAATGCAAGATGGCAAACCTAGGTTCTCACATCTTCCTGGCTAAACCATAGAGGAGGTCCACTCATGGGAAGATGGGGTGATGATAGCTCTTGTGTCCTGCCCGGCTCCCACACTTGCCCGGATTGCTCCCCTCCCTCCCTCCTTCGCCACCCTCCGTTGGACTCCGTGGTAGCCCTCTGTAGAGTTCTCTATGCAAGCTGTATCGCCCTAAAGGTTTCTCCCTTGTTTCCGTTCCCAGTCCCTCTGCACTTCTTCCCTCTTCGCCCCTCCCCCTCTTCCCCGGCCCCCCAACCCCGTGGTTTGTCTTTCTCCCCCCAACCCCCCAAACCCTGGGACCCCCCCCCCACTTCTCAGGCTCCTGATGGGGACCCGTTGCGGTGACGTGGACCCGGCTGTCGTACTGCACATTGAAACCCAGCTGGGCCTGTCAGCAAAGGTGTGTGCGTGTGCATGTGCTTGTGCGTGCCGTGTTTCATGTTGATCTTGGGAAATGCCGGATGTGGTGGTACACGGGGATAACTTCATACCGACGCGAGCTACGTAGTCCAGCGACGTGTCATTTTATAGAAATAATATTCATAAAACCTGTAGGCGTACCTTGGATTGGAAATTTTTAGTGGTAGAATTGTTGAGAGGTAGAACTGTTGACCCTAAGTAGAATTGTTGATTGAAGCGTTATCTCGGAGCCCGTAGAAATGAGAGCTGTGCTGTGACGTCATCCCGCCCTTCGTGCGTATGATCCCCCCAAACCCCACCGACATCCCATCTCCACACACACACACACTAATCTGAGTCCACGTGTATGTATGTATGTATGTATGTATTATGTATGTCAGGAGACCGACACGCTGCTCAATAAGAAGTCCGGTGAGAGCCACGAAGGAGGTCGATCAGGGGGGTGACGGCAATACGGGGAGTGAATAGGGGAAGGAGAGGGGTGTGAACGGGGGGATTAAAAGCGAGGGGGGAGGGAGGTGGGGGAGGGAACAGAGGGGCGCGGGAAGAGTGAGGAAAGGGGATCGTTTTAAGGAATGCACTAAAGGAACTGCCCACAGAATCCAAAGCAACCCCATGTAAATGGCCGTAGCTCCCTCTCTCCATCCCTCTCCACCCCAACTGTTGTGTGGACATCGGCAGTCGTTCAATTGGCTTGCTAGCATGTCAACAACTCACCAACGACAGACACAAATGTTAACACACAACACAAACACGTAAATGATCGTGTTAAAGTACCAGAACTTTCTACTCGCGACACCGGTTCATTTAGACAGGCACCTGTCTCACCCCTTTCCCTCTCCCCTCTGTCACAGGCCTGCTGGGAATCACCGGCTCCAGCGACTTGCGAGCCGTGATTGAGGGTGCTCAGAGGGGGGAGGCACGTGCGCAACTGGGTTTGGACATGCTCGTACACCGTATTAAGAAGTACATTGGCGCTTATGTGGCTGTGCTGGGAGGCCAGGTGGGCTGGGGGGTTCTTTGGGTAGCGGGGGGGCGGTGTTAGGGGGAGGGGCGCTACAGACTGGGGTAGGGAACAGGGTGAAAGGAGGGGGAGCTGCGGGAGAGTAGGGCTCGTGTGTGTGTGTGCGTGTGTGTGTATGTGATGTTATGTTTTATTGTCGTCAAAGCCCCGGAATTGCGCATAGAATGTCGAGTTTTTTTATATCTCGCGCGGTCTGTTGTACGTACGGAAACGGTGTTGGGTTTCGTCGCCTTCCCTCTTTCTCTTACCTCCACAACCCCCGCATTCCTCCTCCCTTTCATTCCACCCCCCTTAATGTCCCCCTTCACTTCGACCGACCATCGGCAATTGGTATTTCCACTCCACGGCGTATCTCCCCACTCCGCCTCCTTCCCTCACCACACGCACATACACACATTTCCCCCCAAACCCCCCCACACACACATCTTCCCCCCTGGCATTTCCCTTGTCCCTACCCAGGTCGATGCGGTGGTGTTCTCAGCTGGCATTGGGGAGAACTCCTCCCTGCTGCGGGGCCTGGTGATGGAGGACATGCAGGTGTGTGTGTGTGTGTTGGGGGGAGGCAAGGGGGGCAAAAGGCTGTATGTATGTATGTATGTATGTATGTATGTATGTATGTATGTATGTATGTATGTATGTATGTATGTATGTATGTATGTATGTATGTATGTATGTATGTATGTATGTATGTATGTATGTATGTATGTATGTATGTATGTATGTATGTATGTATGTATGTATGTATGTATGTATGTATATATGTGTATGGTTTTGCACGTTTCTCATGCCATCGCCCCACCTGGCCTTCAAAATCCAGGGGTTGGGTCTGCAAGTGGACCCCGACCTCAACCGGGCTGCAGTGGGGGGCCGCCAAGGGGACATCAGCGCACCCTCGAGCCGTGTCAAGGTGCTGGTCATACCCACAGACGAGGAGCTGTCCATTGCGCAACAGACTCTGCAGGTGGTGGAGCAGGCGCAGCTGCAGCTGGGGGCCGATACTGCTGCTGCTGCGGCGGCGGCGGTGGCAGCAGGGGGAGGCGCTATGGCAGCCTAGGCCTGGATTATAGAAAACAAAGCCGAGGGAAGTAGTGTGGGAGATTGCAGAGAAACGTGTAGAGATGCGTGTCGGGGGGATAGAGAGAGAGAGAGGGAGAAGGGGCACAAAAGTGTCGCGGAAATGGGACCCTAGCAGAGAGATGTAAGGAGAGGGGAAAAGGGGAGGGGGAAGTGAGGAGAAGAGCTTTTGGGGGATTGCTGTCAGCTCCTACCACTCCGACCCGCTGCTGCTTCCTTTCAGTGGCGCCGTACATTTGCCGTGCATCTCACGGAGGGGTTAGTTTGGGGCAGTAATTGAAAAGAGATGCTCTGAATAGACACCAAAGAGAAAACGGCAGGCAGAGAAAAAATGGGTTGGAGCAGTAGCAGAAGTTGCAGGAACAGCAGCAGCAGCAACCACAGTAGCAGTAGCAACAACAGTAGCAGCAGGAGCAGCATCGCTTGCAGGAGGAGGAAGCTGAAGAGTTTAAGTGTGTATTGAGATGGAACGTCTATCGTGTCATGTCGAGAAGTGCTTGTTCATGTCCTACGCCGCAATCACAACACATAGAGTAACGTGTACCGAAAGAAAGCGTCCAGCTGTGAAACACGGGTCCAGTGTGTGTGTTAAAACCTGTGTATTTCCGTGCGGAGCGGAGCGCAGTGATGGCCGGGACGGATGCTAATGATGATGGCCTGTGATAAGCAGGTTAGATTCTCTGTATGTATGTTTGGATGGGGCGGCGGCCCTCGCCGCAGCGTGCGTGCGTGCCAGTGACGAAGAATGACCGCTTCAGGCCCCCCTGCACTTACACATACAACCATACACACCCTTCCCACCACCCACCACCGGTGAAGGCGGCCAATACTGCCTGTCTTACTTCTGCCGCTCCCTTCCCCGATACAATTCCCTCGAAGGGTTGTGCGTGCATGTATGTATGTGCATTAGTAACAGACCCGTGGTACTACACATGTACGTAAGTGCGAGTGAGACAGGTAGGGGTTTGGATTTAGAATCGGGGGTAAATGCTGCTCCTATTTAGTTTGCGTGCACGGTGAGATTGGGTTGCGTGTCGCGATATTGGTCCATGCCCTCCTCCCAGGGGAGCTAAAGGGGAACCCCAAAGTCATCTCCCTCGGGTGGGGAGCAGTAGAACTGAGCAGGAGAGTACGGACATACGTCCGAGTTTTTATCGTGTGACGGGTCTGGAGAGGGTTGAAGCGTGCTTGGGTGGGTTTATCCTCTGTTGGCTGGACAGTGCGTGGCCATATACGCAGGAAGACATAAAGATAAGCAGGCAGGATTCGCAATGGTGTCGGAGTTACAACGGTGTGCTGTGACACGCGTTGCCAACGCGCCGAAACAAATGCTTGCACGAATGTTAAAATATTGTTTTAAAGACGCAGCTGGTTGACTGGTTGCTGACATGTTGAAAACCTATCAATCGTTGTGAAAGAGGAGAATCGCAGGTATTTGATCCCCGAAGCTACTCACATTACACAGGAAATTACTGATTACACAGGAAATGCCACACCAGTACGACTGCTACGTACACGTCTACGTACACGAATCGCTGCTTTTTTGTCGGACGTAAATTGTTTCAGCTGGCAGACGGCGCGATGGGTCGCCGATACGATCCACATTTGACGTGTGTCAACAGCATTTTAAACAAGGCTGGCTTGCCAGACTATTATAGGAATAAATCACAGTATTGGATTGACATATGCTACGCAAGCTAAAACCCGTAGCTCATACACCGTCAGCTAACCTCCGTGGCTCACACCCAGGCATTAGCCAGCAGGTTGTTCAGCCAGCGGCGCCTGCTTGCTGTCACCAACTGTACACGACACCTCAAAACCGCAAAGGTGAAAAGGAACCAGAAGGTCCATACATACAACAGGCAGGCGGCTGGCAGAGGTTAAGGCCTGACTTCTGCTCCCAGTTGACCCAGTCGACCCGGGTTCAAATCCGCCTGCCAACTCCTCGGGTGTTTGAGGAGTGATGAAATGGGAGGTGGCCCCCCATCTTATGGACGGTGTAGGACGTGATAATACCAACTTGCGAGCTGACCAGGAACTAAGTTGATGCGCCGTTGATCCGCTAGATTTGGTTGGATGCTGGTATTGAGTTGCCGAACCCAACGAATACATTCTGAAGTCGGATGGGGTGACGGATTAGGGTGCCCCTCTAGCAGGGGAGAGCAGGGACTGCCCCGGGAAAGGGGGCCGCTGGCGAAGTTAACCACCCTGTAACAACATACATACAACAAGGCACCGTGACGGAAAGAGCAATATGCTCCTCCGCAATGCGTCAGGTTAATTCACAACGTCTTCTGCAGATTAACATACTTCAAAACGTGCGTGATTCCGACGTGACCTGGGCATGCATGCTCCCCCGACCGATCTTGCTTGCGTAAACCAAAAAGCATAATGTCATCCCCAACAGACCAAGAATCCCATTTCAAGGAGACCAAAAAATGCTATTGCCGGTGATGAGCGACACTACGCGCCTGACTTGGCAACCCGCCCTGCTTCCGGCCGGATACATCATATGCTCTTTAGCAGCATCCAACCCAAAACTTTTGGCAAAAACCGCGACAATCCAGCTTTCGGAACACCCGCAGCAACGCAATCGAAAGTCTGCGGAGTTGAAAAAAGCACCCGCGTCCAACAACAGACCTTAAAGGAGTAATCCTGTTAGGACGCCAATCACAGAAAAAAAACGATGGGGTCTATCACCGCTAGCACAGCGCATGCAACCAGGAATCGCGCCTCAGAAAACAGCCGACCAGCTCGTGTTGCCAATATCATCATCGCCGGAAAAGCCATACCATTATTTCTATTGATCATGCTCCACAAAATCACGTGCAAAACCCAAACGAACCGTAATCGGCAGGATGCCGTAATCATGGGCCCTTGCTTGTGCCTGCGAATCCGACACAAGCGAATAAGAGACAATTCTCCTGCTCGCAGGTTGCGTCCTCCTCCTGCTCCTCCTCCTCCACCTCCTTAAGAGACGCAAGACTTGCAAACCCTTAGTACCATCAGCGAAGAGCGCGAACTCTCAAGAAGCCCGAAGCGATTTACTCGGTATCGACGCCCCCCGGAACGTAGTGCGTGTGCTGCAGGTAGTTCGGGGCCAGGAGGGCGCGGGGACGAAAGCAGAGATAAGAGAAGCCAGGACGTCAGGCGGACGTCTGGCGGCGTGTGCCGAGTGACGGCGATAGGTCATCTGCAACGTTAAAGCTGGCATGCAACGATATCCAAGCCCGCGGCCCAAATAACAGTGAATGCGACGCAGCGACGGCACAGCACGCGACTCCTGCAACGGCAAGGCCGAAAATTCCAGTACCAAGCGCACAGGCCGGCGGCCGCGAATACAAACTGACACCTGCGGCAGAGAGCGACAACACAACCCGCGAACATTACCCGACACCTCACGCTCCCCCGGACACGCGACCTCAACCCACTCACCAGCAGGTCGTGGGCCTTGTGGCTGTTGGGCTCCCCGAGGAAGTCCTCGTAGGCCTTTTGTACGGCGGGGTTCTCGTGACTCCTGATAATTGACGTGGGGGCCCGGAATTACAACAAAACACTCTCAACAATATACGTCACACATGTAATGTATCTCCATCCCACCTCGGAGGAGAACTGGCAGACAGACTGGTAGACATATGGGAAGCGGTCATACAGCTCTGGCAAAAACACACCGCACATCACTGGCAAGCGGTCACGCAGTCGGAGACTATTACCATCACGCAATGCATGCTCTCGCTCATTCCTCCCCTCGTCCCGTTGCTGACCGAACCCGTCCAAACCCGTACAACCCTCGATCTGACAAAGCACCCGCATTCACCTGCGGATGGTGGCCCGCTCGTCCAGGTCGTACAGTGCTTGCTGCCTCTTTACAGCCACCTGTTTATCCGTACTGCGCGGCTGGCCGCCGCCACCGACGCAGCCGGAGGGGCAGGCCATGATTTCCACAAAATCGTACTTGCACTCGCCGGTCTGCATCATTATCATCACATCATCACCATCATGTGACCATTACTTCATTTAGGATTTTGGTGGATAATATGCCTGTGAAGAAAGCAATGTGGATTGAAAGTTAGACAATCAGCATGTTGGCATCCGACCCACAGCAGCAGCAGCAGCAGCTGCTCCAGGCCTTGTACAATGGACGGCAGTACGGCGAAAAAACGGTGTCCGTGCCCGGGGGCGTCAAAACAGCCATGACGGCGCAAGGGGCGATATCCTCCTTAAGGGCGTTGCAGGATTGCGATTCGTTGCGTGTGGGAGATTCAGCTAGTAGTCAGGGTCGGCAGTAGTCGGGAGCAGTCAGGTTGTACCCTTAAGCCAGCGATATCACACCAGCTGTGACACGAACACATCAACGCCACGTCATCATTGTACGAGAAGAAGCGTTGTACCCAAGCGGATATCGTACACCTGTTCACTCCGCACCTGCATCTTCGTGAGCAGCTTCTTGGCGTTCCCCAGTCCGTTGGCAACCGCCACTCGCAACGTAATGCCCTTAGCTCCGTCATCCGCGGTGAAGTTGGACCCACCATCCCACTTAATGGCGCCGGCGCTGGCCGCGGCCTCGTCCATAGCCTTGGCAGCCGCACGCGCAGCGACGAGCTCAGCAAACTTGGAGCCAGGCGGCGGCACCATCTTGATTTCTGTTTCCTTGATTCCGTCCATGCCGCGCACCTCGGATAGATTGAGACGGGGCAGCGGCTGCTGCGTCACCAACTCATAAGCCTGCAGGAGAGACAAGGAATGCCGGGCGTCGTCGCCGAAAATGGTCAAACCATCAAAGATGCTCACACGGTGCCTTAAGATGCTTAAGGCTCTCACACAGGACGATGCCAGTTGTGGATTCACGCGCAACAAGCGGTTATTTTCCGGGAAGTATTGAGCTTTGACGCGCTCTTTTGACGCGCTTTTAACACCGATAACAACACCGATAACAAAAGCTTTGTCCGCTTTGCCTTTGGCTACAAAAACTTGCTAGCGGAACATCAATCACGTCATTTTAATGAAAGCTCTTTATTCATATTGTATCAATCTTAAAATATGATAACTCCCAGCTTCCTGCCTCTGCTCTGCCGATGTTATCATAGGCCATTATCGCATCCCGCCGCTACTCACAGTGCGCAGGGCCGCCTCCATGACGCCGCCAGTCGTGCCGAAGACGACACCGGCACCCGAACCGCTGCCCAGGGGTTCGTCCCAGCCACCTTCAGGCAGCTCTGGCAGGTTGATGTTGCGCTCCTGCAACCGCAATGCCGCGACCGGGAAGAGGGAATTGCGACAACAGGCAACAAAGAAACGAACGCTTAAAGCTCCGGGCATGCGCCGTACGAATGCCGTACCTTGAGGATGTTCCCCAGCTCGGCAGTGGTGATCACGTGGTCAACGTCACGGACTCCCGCGCCGCCCGAGCAAAACCAGTCGCGGTCAGCCTCGCCTGCGTGACGTAATTCACGGTGGAGGCATGGAGTGAGGATAACCGCAGCATCCAGCAGTTGTGTGCTTCTCAAGGCGGTCAGCCTGCAGGCACCTGGTCTACAACGGGGACCATTCATTGTACTGGATGTTTGGTAGTAGTGGCAGATGGCACATGTACGGCATGGTACACATGTTCAGCGTATGTATGTGTGGTGTGTGGGATAGGGGGTCATGTCTTCAACCTGCGGCCGCTACCCGGCAGACCCTGCCTTCCTGGTATTTTCGGGGCATCCTCATCCAGCCACCTTAGCCAACTTCTCAGTGGATCGCTCAGGTTCAGCACCCACCACCGGCAACCCACGGTATCTGCCGGATCAACGGCGGCTCAACTCCACACTATCACACTATCCCTGTATATGACTACCACTATCCTTATACTTGTTTTGAGATGTGACACTCACCTTGCTTGCGGACGCACGGCATGATGGAGACCATGCTGATGTCACTGGGCGAGATGCCCTTCTTCTCGGCCAAGTACGTCTTCACCATGGCGCCAAGCATCATCTGGGGGCTCTTGCACGACGACACGTACGGAATAAGCTCCGGGTAGGACTTCTCAAGGAGAGCTGCGGATCAAGGGCGAAAAGGGCGACTGGGGATATTTGGCGATGAAGGAAAGTATTCAACCAAAGCGACGACCGGAAACAGGCGCATGAAAAGCGAGAGTTACAAGCAAGTAGTCCTGCCTGTCCGTTCCTTATCGCCTGATGCAATAGAGCGATCAAGCGACTATTTGCTTACCAATCCATCCCGGGCAGCAGCTAGTAAACATGGGCAGGGGCTCCTCGCTGTGCGGGTGAGCCTCCAGTTGAGCCTGAAGCCTGCTGAGCAACTCGGTGCCCTCCTCCATGATCGTCAGGTCAGCGCCATAGAGCGTATCTACAGTACGGTGTGTTCACATGCCACACAGAGGGCCATGGCTTAATTAGAAACAGCGCATGGCGTACACAATTTTCCACTTTGGAGTTGGATACTACGTCCCAGTTGGGAAATTACCATGGGGCATGCAAGTTCCTTGAGGGATGTACATGGGTGGGAACGCCAAAATTCATGTCATTTGGTAATTCTAGACCGCGAAACTGAAGGACATGAAGCTGGTTGGTGGCTGCGCCAACTCGTGAACCGACATCGCCATTTAACCGATTTCTAACGGCAAGCAAACGACTACTAGTGCATAACCAAGGTTGTGGAGCTCGTGCTCTATAAATCTTCCAAATATTCATTAAGTTTGCCGCTTACCGAATACCATATCGAAGCCAAGGCAGCGCAGCGACTCGGCAAGCTGGCCTGGGGTGGTGGCGCCGGGCGCGAGACCGAAGCTTTCAGAAATAGCCACTCGCACAGCCGGGGCAACCTGCAGACGGATAAAATGTTTTCCAAAAACATAATTGACATGTGCCGTGCAAGGAAAGGTAGATGTTCACCGCTTCTCACCTGTGCAATCATAACCTTGCGCTCAGCCTTTGGCTTGTCTGAGGGCACAAAAAAGGAAGAAATGCAAGTTTAGCCGATGGTATTGTGCAGCGTTTCACGGGACAACTTGGAGCTGTCACGGAAGAGTTGTAACAGGTCCTAACCGACCGCGTGCTATGAAGTACAGAGAAAGCCTCAGAACATACTCACCAAGCTCAGCAAAGGCCTGCTTCCAATGAGGGTCAGCAGCTGCACCAGCCGGCGCAGCCGCGGCGGGCATTAACCGAACAGAATTACCTATCAGAGGCAACCCGTGGAAGTCAGCTCGGTACCAGCCCAACGCAAAAGGTCCATAAATGTTGGTTTTTCATTACCTTCTTGCACCGTCTTCACCGGTACCGGGACAGCCGAAGTGCACTTACGGAAGGGCACGCATGGCACATAAACCGGCTTGGAGCCATATCTAGACACGGCTACCTGTGGCACATAGGCACCTAGTCGAGAATTGGTAAGGCTACTCAGCATGGCTGACATTGTAATTCACTGGGAACCAGATAGCTTTTGCGGTCAGTTTTTTAAAAACTAAAGTCGTGCTGTAAAGAAATGTTCAGGAACTTATGATTGCTCTGTCAGAGAGAAATTTGACATATGCACTTTTAATCTGAAGGATCGCCGGAAGGGTCCTGTGGTACGGTACAACGGCTTTCGCAGGAAGCTGACAGTTTGCCACAATTACGAGACCTTAAGCATCCAATTTGTACAGGAAAGAGCCAATTAGGCATCATCACGTTGCGTGGTTTTCCCCACAGCTTCCACTAACATGAAACGCCTATAGTGTACGGCATCGTTACGGCATCTTGACAAACGACGCGTTGCCATGGTTGCTTGTCTAGCTTGTCAGAATACCTACGTGAAATTCTCAGAGACCACTAGCTCGTGCTGACCATGGAAGATGCAAGTCATTTCTCGCTCTTCTCTGACACTCTGCTACAATATAATCCAGAGCAGGAACAGTTATTTACATGGATTGGAGTTGCAGCTACGTTGCACACCCAGTCACCACAACGAGGAGTGGACTGCGAAGGCCCACTCTTATCACACGCCTCAAAGGCAGTGTCGGAGTTGCCGGCGGACATTTGATTATGACGCATGTACTGCAGCTATTTCACAATATCCCAATCTCCTACCTAGATTGGAACACACGAAACGTTGCCTGCTACTCATAAGCGAGCTGTCAAGAGCTGCCGATTATTGCTTCCATTACATATCTACTGGTTAGTTGGCCCTTGCTCCACGCTTGCAGCAGCATGTCACGGGATCCTTGGACCTCACCTTAGGGTTAACCTATCAGCTATTTACCAGCCAGGTCCAGTGGTCCACTTAGCCCCCATACTGAAGTAATACGACAGGACGGAAATGCTCCGCATTTATGCATTTATGCATGCATGAGGACCAAAGCCCTCCGGGGGGCTGGGCTGGGAGTCCGTCACAGCCACGCTCGACTCAGACAGCGACTATCAAACAGCAATAACGTACACGTTTACCGTGCCACGCGAACTGGTGTCAAACGACCTTCGAATGCCGACAGATGCCGACTTATCAACTACAAAGCGACAACTGCCAACCAATAACCAACTGAAAGAGCCCAGCAGGAACGTACTCTTTGCACAAGTTGAAGTGACCTGACCCGCAAGTTCAAGGAGAATGCCCACAGTGTGATTAGGACAGCTAGGCAAAAAGCGAATAAAGCGGTTTCACGACAAATGTCCGGATGGTCATAATCCATCCACGACCCTATATCCACCCATGAGCCCATCCCGGCTCTGTAACGCTCAGTTCCGTCCCGTGACCGCTGGCTGTCCCTCGGCGGCCTTGGCTCCGTTACCGTTGCCAGTACCGTTACCGTTGGCTGCAACCGCTCCCTTGGCACCTGCTGCTGGGGGCGAAGTGCTCCGCGGCGGCGGCTCCAGCCCCCAGGGCTCCAAGGCGCGGCGCAGTGCCTCCGGCGCCGCCGCATACGAGAAGAACATTCCGTAGTTGGTGACGGGGACATCCGCCTCGGTCAGGTCCGCTAGCCGCTGAGAAACCTGCGGTGGTGTCGGAGGAGGTGCAGGAGGAGGAGGATGAGCTAGCGGGCCTTACAGACACCACCTCCCCAGTTTGCCATCACACGTTGGCCGCATCCTCCCTTTCCCCAACTACGGGCCGTGTCCCAGCCCTCCCTACCTTTTGTGAGTCGATCATGCACGCCCCGCAGTGAATGGCCAACTTGTACTGCCCCAGCTGACCGCTCTCCAGCTCGGGAAACTCTGAAGGGGAGAGAGAGAAGGGGTTGAGGGGGTGGGGTGAGGGGGTGGGGGGCACCCTACGCCATAAGGGAAAAGGGAAGCAGGGGAATATGACATGACCCCTGGCAGCGCACATTCCGGAACGAGGGAGCTTTCCCAAGGTGAAACACATCACAAACGTGTCATACAACGTGTATGACACAAAGGACAGTCGTCCTGCTGCTACTGCTACTGCTACTGCTGCTCTTGCCACTCACCCCTGCCGTACGCGTGGTCGATGTTCAGTTTCTTCCCCCCCACCATCTGGTCCAGCTTCTTGGGTATCTGCACCATGCCGATGTCGTTGCACTCCTTGGTGATGCGGTTGTGGTTACACGCCTCAGAAATGAGCACCCTGTCGCCCTCCTGCAGCCCTTCAAGAGCCTCCAAGCCGCCCACCCAGGCGTCCAGGCGCCCGCCGCTCATGGCGTACGCCATGCAGATAGAGAAGGTGGTAAACGGCACCAGCGGCCGGCCAGAGACGGGGTCCAGAGTCCAGGGGTGGACCACATCCACCGCCTGGGAGTCCGTCACCACCAGCACCGGCCCGCAGCTGTTCTCACTCAGCAGCCGGATCACACCGCCGAAGCGCTGCCGCTCCGCCTCCCGCGCCTCCGGCCCCAACTTGTTCCTGGCCGCGTCCAGGTCCAGTCTCACGCACACCACAGTGGCCCAGTGCCGAATAGCCTCCTCCTGCACCATGGCCTGGGGCCGCAGCAGCCGCCCCCCTGGAGTCTCCGCGTCCATGGGGATGACCAGCAGCAGCATGGCGCCGCGGCCCAGGGCCCAGCGGGGCAGGCAGCCGGGGTGGGGCTGACCCCAGCGAGGGGAGCGCTGGGCACCGGACTGTGAGACGAGGGTTGAGGGGGGGAGAGGGGATTAGTGTACTGCTTGTCCTTTCCGGCCCTCCTTTGACCCAGCCTGGCGGGACCTCCCTCCCCCCCTCATCACCTTGACGAATTCCGCACATCGGGTACTTCGCTCGTGCAGTGGAGTGGCCGCCAGGTCCAGGGCCATGGCGGGAATCTGTGGGTCAGCGAGGAGCGGGACAGTGAGGGGAGGAGGTGGGGGTGAGGGAGGAGAGGGAGGGGCCAGAGGGGCCCCCCGTGATTAGGGAGAGCTTACTCAAGACACACCCCACCTGCACCCCACCTCACTCCACACAGAGAGCAGGCCCCCTCCCTCTCCACCCACCTCTCTCCTCTCACCTTCCTGTCCGGGTCCAGCGCCCCGTGTGCCTCCGCCAGCAGCTCCCCCACCCTGGAGTCGGAGGGAGTGAGGGGGGCACCGCCGCCGCTGCCGCCAACACACGGCTTCACGTTGAGAAGCAACACGGGGGATACCTGTGTGCATGTATGTATGTATGTATGTATGTATGTATGTATGTATGTATGTACGGGTGGCACATGGACACGGAGGCGCCAGGAGTAGGGAGAGGTCAGAGGTAGCAAGGTCAAGGAGCAGGACATGGTGGGCAGGAGAGGGACGCAAGCCGCGACGTGTGGCACCGCAGACTCACCCCGTACTTGGCCGCCTGCTCCATGACCTTGCGTTCCCAGCTGAGGGTGGTGCGGGGGTCGTAACCGGGCTGGGACCTGGCCCGCTCCAGGTTGTCCGTGTCCACCACCACCACCGCCACGTCGCACTCCTTGAGGCAGTTGAGGGCCTTGCGCCGCTTCTTATCGCCCAGCAGACCTGACACAAGAAAAGGCAAGGAAAGGCAAGACAGCCAGACAGGAAGGAAGGGAGGGAGCGCAGGAAAGGGGAAGGCCAGCCCAACCTCAGCGCCCAACAGCCCGCCAGTAACGCCAGGGAAACCACAACGCAGGTGAGGAGCTGCTCGGGAAGTGCAAATGCGTCTCAAGAGAACACGCCAAGTTCAGTCAAGGAGACGTCAGTCAAGAACAGCACCCTTCCCACGCTACCCTCCCTCCCTCCCTCCCGCCATCATCGCCCCCTCTCCCCCCTCTCTGTCTCACGCACCCTCCTCGTCCAGCCCCGCCGTGTCCAGCAGCTTGGCCGGGCCCAGGTCGTGCAGCTCCAGCAACACCGTCTTGACGTCCGCGGTGGTGCCGGGGTGGGAGTCCACGATACACGCCTCCTGCTGGGCCAGCGCGTTCACAAGACTGGACTTGCCTGAAAAGGGGGGAAGAGGGGGACCGGCGCAGCAGGGTAGGTAGGTAGGGAACTATCTGAGGGTAGAAAGAGGGGTGATAGGAAGGCGGTTTCAAAGGGAAGGAGGCCGAGTAGGGAGCACGGGAGGGAGGTAAAGGATATCACGGAAGGGTCCAGGCCAGATAGAAGGAGGGGAGCTGGCAGCCACGGGTACGAGGCGCGTTGTGGATACCGGGATGTGGGTATTGATTGACAATCCAGTATTGCTTATAGGGCCTAGTTTGCTAGACCCTATATACAATACAGAGATATAAACAATACAGACGCCTCCATGTTGCAATAAGACGGCCTCGGGGGATATCTTTGCTCGCTCTTACCTGCGTTCATGATACCGAACACGCCGATGTTGATGCGCGGCACACCTGCAGCAGTGGTGCTGGATATGCTGCCGCCAGCAGGAGAGCTGCTGCTGCTGCCAGGAGCGGGCGCCGCTGGTGCAGCAATCGCACAGATGTCCACGCGGCCCCTGGGATTACCTGGCGATGCATCAAGGTCATACTTGTGATCAGTAAAGATGAAATTTGTGGATCCTGGTCAGAGGCCATGAGTCATGGCCGATACCACTACCTCGAGGGGTTGCGCGACAACACTTGCGGAATAACCCGGATGGCACCGGGATTGGCCGTAAACAGCTACTCGACATAGCTGCCGCAGGCTCAGCTGCACGAAGGCTAGGTTTACCAACATATGTCCACATCGTTGTCCGTCCGCAAGGGAAGTTAACAAAGGATTTAACACACCGTCCCGCCGATGCTCTCGGTCAAGAACAAGGTGCGCAAGTCAAAATTTAATCAAACAAACTGTTATCCTTATGGTTTTATGCCAATTAATCAGCGTCCGTAAAGGGTAAGGCCAACGCATGGGCAAGCATCGACGGAAGAGTACGAAACATCGTAAACAAAAAACAGGGCTTCCTGTGCGCCCGCATCATAATTCAAGTTGGTCCACCAATATGGCATGAAGTTAAGTAAAGGTATAATTATCCGGACGTTTTTGCATAGCGGTGCCGGTGCTAAGCCTAACTGTCAACCGCGGTGCTGGTTTCAGGCGGCGAACAGTCCTCCAACCTAAGCAAACATCCAAATCCGTGGACTATGTAACATATTTGTAAAGCCCTGTCTTTTTTACCATTGTAGACGCTAATTGGAACGGTTGGTAACCTCTGATCTGTTGACCAACTGTTCAGTGGCAAGCCCGCCGGAGGCGCATGCCTCCGTTTAGCGTACCGGAGACTAAAAATATGTTTTTTTCTGTAAAAGACTGAGTCTGTGTCTCACAAGATCCTGCTCTTGCATATGAACAAGGATATCCGAAAGGGTATCAGATCAGGCGGAAGAAGCATGTTTACGGCGCCATTTTGCAGAAGCTACTTCGGCAGAGGATGCTACTCGAGTTAGAGGAGCACCAGCGGAATCAATATGACCCGCTGCAACATTTGTTCAGGTGGAAAAAATGCTGTTCTCCAGATCCTTATTACAGGAGGCACCATTCGCGTTGCCCTGTGCACTTACAAATTGCAAGCAACAAGCGGTTCACCGCTAGTTTCGCGTACCTGCGATATCCGACCTACGGCCGGATGATAAACTACATTCCACAAGTAAGGTAACGCGGGTTGGGGAAGACGAAGGGGTTCTTCCAAAGGGGAAGACGAAGGGGTTCTTCCAAAGGGGAAGACGAAGGGGTTCCCCTTTGGGGAAGAACTGGACGCTTTGGTTTCCGCAAGCTTCAGTCGCGGCTCCAGCAATGCCGATGCCTGGGAAATGGCCACAGCCAGCGCTACCGCAACAATGTAAGCAGGGGCGTCACTTGCACCTCGGTTGCGTGGACCCTGTCCTGCAGGCTCGTCCTTCGCATGCCAAGACCAGCTTGCTGCAGGGTCAGGAGCAGCTGCAGCAACAAGTGCCGGTTGAAGAACACGGTAGCGGGCCAGCGGCACTGGGGGCATAACGGCAGGGCAGTCTTAATCCTGAGCAAGGCGCCCTGGACCCCGGACCCAAGGTGCTGCAGCATCCTTGCAGCCGCCACGAGCTGCACTGTCACCGGTAACAGCAACCAACTCTACAAAGTCACAGGGCGGAGGATGTCGGGCAGCCACTGTTTGCATTCCCATTGCGGTCCCCAATGCCGACAACAGCCACGCGCCCGGTGAATGGTCAGGCCGGAATTGCAGCTGCCGACATGCGTGCTGGTGATGAGGGTTGTACAGCTGCAAAGCGTTTCCCATGCAGGGAAATTCGGTTCCGCCTGGCTGCCAGCCCGTGAGCCGCCCCTGGAGCCATGGGACCGGCACCGCAAGCGTCCCGCTTCAACCACCCGAACACAGGAAATGCCTTCCACAATGTATGGCGACCCGTCAGCGGAGAGGAACTCCCTGAGATACAGCAGCCCATGGAGGCGGCGCCATTTTACACCGAGACCCTAGGCACAGCTGCCACTGCCGGTTCTGGTTTAGCCACGGTTGCCCATGGCTCGCAGGTCTCGGTGACTGTGGCCCTGACCCGGCTACTCTTGCTGCACGGTATGGTGGAGATTAACCTGCCTTAACCGTCCTAGACTTCTCGTTATGGCGCTTCGAGTTTGACGCGATGGACACCGCCGGCATCACTTGGCGCTTCACTATCCGGTTGTGGCTCAACGGTGACAACCCTAGGTCCGTAACGTGCTAGAGGTGAGTCAGGAATAGTATCATGGGTAGGAACATGGATACATGTAAGCATCTTCGAAACCCTAAGTTACAAGGGACCCATGGTCAAGAATGGATTGGGAGGCCGACTGACTTGAATTACGGGACGGAGGTCTGTTCTTAAGCTTAAGGCGAAAGGAATATGGCCAAAATCTGGGGAAGCCCGCCCCCGGCGAACCAGCATGAACGGCGGCGATGGCAGTGGCGTGGTTGCGGATGACACCCCGCAGACACACAGCCGCAGGAGAAGCCATGATAGCGTCAGGAGGCAAAAGAGGCCGCATGCGATAACGGAAACTTGCGTGGAGCAAGCGCAATGGGGTATTTTTCATAAAGCATTGTGTAAAACTTGGGACGGTGCGCGGTGCCTGTGCCTGTGAGGGCGTCCGGAGTTGGGATAAGGCCGGATGCTATCCGGATTTTGCTGCCCGACAGAGTCTATAGTTCTTTGGCTGTGTACTGCTTACTCCGTCCTACACTGCTTCCGCACTAGCCCACAGCCAGCCTGGAGGTAGCCAGGGTCCGATGTTGTCCGGGTGCCACGCTGTTACCCCTCCCGTCGCTCTCTGCGCTGATTGTTTTCTGTGCTAGCCCGACTTCTAGCAACCCTACCATGTCCGCCGCTAATTCCTTGCTGCCACCGAGAAGGTCCCGAAGGCGTCCACCATAAATGTACCAAGGGCGTCGAGGCATGGCTGCCAGCAAGCTGAAGCTTCCTTGGTCCGGGCGGGGGGGTGGTTGTGGCAGCAGTGTGTGCATTGGTTGTTGACTACTGTGCATTGCATCAATGCCACTGTTGTACATGTCTGCTAGCGCTGTAAGTCTGTTGCGCCCTTTTGCACCGCACCCTCTTGGAATGTATTTCTTGTGTCTTGAGTGCGTCTTTGTCTGTGTGCGTGCAGGACGGGTTCAGATTGCCTAGTAATTGCCAGTAGGTGCATGTGTGAGCACTGGCACCACACCTGGCACGATGAGATGAGGACTTCATGTTGTTATGAGTCCTACACGCGATGCCTTAGTTTTATCCTATCCCCGCTATAGCAAACAGGGGGTTGCGGGAGATGGTCCGGCTGTGCGTCACTGGGAGTTCTCGGATGGAGGCACCGGGGCGGCAGATTACCCGCCTGAAGAGTACCGTAGTATTTGCTGTTAGGACAATGGCGTTTACTGCTTTTGACCGGTGCTACGTAGCGTGATGCTACAAAAGGTTCTGATCACACACCTATCACTACTTGGAGGTCCTGCAGAGCCGTAGAGCAGCATATTCGTGCGGCCCGACGTTTACTTCCCGACTGATGTGGGATTGGGTCTTAAGAGTGCGGTTCTGTGCGGGGAATGGGGGACGACATCTTGGTTATGGCATTGCGGACGCGGCCCCCATGCAGCGTGCCTATCTCGCGTTGGCTACTCGTTTGGACGCCTGCACACGTAGATTTGCCTTGGATGCATGTGTGGAACTTGTGTTTTGAAGCTTAGCTGCCTGCATGCTCCCCGAGTGGTGTTCAATGACCAATGCGAGAGGCGTCCATTTATACGCCCCTAAGACGGACGCCTTGCTTGGCATCCTAAAAAAATGTTGTAGTCCTGCATGAACGTAAAAGCTAAAAGCAAAGACCCTATGCAGGTTCATTATGGAAGGTAAAGCCTTCGACATCTTTGGCTAGAGCCAGTGCCATAATTGAGCTCCCATTTTCCCCTCCCCCCCACTTATTCCGCGGCACGGCTGAAATGAGCTAAAAGCTCCCCCCAAAGCTTACGGTCCATGAAGCCACCATCCTGTTTTGTATTGCCGTCCTCATTCGTGCAAACCACGACCACAACACCGCAACATGCGTCCATGCTAAATCACGACCTACATATGCTCACTGTACATAGGTGTTTTGAATAAATTAGGAATGCCTTCCACGGTTGGGACAGGTTAGCAGTGACCCTCAACTCCTGTGGGCAACTCCATGTCGTTCGGCGCGCACAAAATCGACCACATACTGAACGGTCAGCGTATAAAGATTAACCGCATGCAAAGATCAGGAAATGTTGCATCGACATGGAAAGAAAACATGTAAATAGTGTAATTGCATGGAAGACGTACAAATGCACGCTTGTTAATAAGCAGCAAGACCGACTTGCTGCCGGAGCACATCAGAAGCTGCACGCCAATATATATTTCCATAGTTCGCGCCTGAAATCAGGTGGACATCACCCGCATCGCCGACTTTAACCGCATTTAGAGCACATTTTCCCTTGCCACTACGCACCCTCACTTTCCACGCAGCTCGACCAGCTGCTGCACAACGCTGGGGTCTGCCAGCGTCGAGGTATCACCCAGCTGGTCCTCCTCGCACGCAGCAATCTTGCGCAATACCCGCCGCATAATCTTTCCGCTGCGAGTCTTGGGCAGGCCCGGCGCCTGGAGGGGAGAATAAAGCAAAATATGCTTAGCGGAAGTGCACTGTTTTGTCAGCGGCACGCATTCAAACCGTCATCCAGAAGTACTCTCATGCGCTGTGAACCAAAGACCGCGTTTCACTAGGTCACTCACACAGAACTTACCCAGTGGATCACGTCGGGCGCAGCGAAGGGGCCGATAACCTTGCGGACTGTAGCAATAAGCTCCTTCCGCAGGGCGTCACTGGGCTCGGAGCCTGTAGGCGTATTAGCGAAGGCGCACACGCATGAGCATAAGCCACCAGACCCGCAAAGCTGCCGTTGGCAGCAGCACAGGTAGAAGCTGCAACACCTACAAGCCTGTACATCGTCTAGCAATGCGCAAACATCAAAAGGCATGGCCGAACCGGACTGCTTGACACCCTCGCACGCGGCAAGCGCAAAGCAGTATAACCTCGCACAAAAAGTTGTAGAACCTCGGCCACCATGCTCACCAGTCATCAGAGTCACAAACGCGTAAATGCTCTGGCCCTTGATGGCGTGCTCCACCGCCACCACTGCGGCCTCCACGCAGACCGGGTGCGACACCAGCGCCGACTCCACCTCGGCGGTACCAATGCGATGCCCGGACACGTTGAGCACGTCGTCCACACGGCCGGTAATCCAATAATAGCCGTCCGAGTCGCGTCGGCACCCATCACCTGCGCGATACGGTCAGCAACAGCAGGGTGTCGCCGGGGCTGCACTGCAGCCACGTAGTGTCTCTTTAGCCCTATGCGAAAACCTGTTCACCACTATGATGCGCTGGCAGCCGCGTCCCATTCTGGCGCCATTACCCAGGCAGCAAGTCAGCTGGCCTCACCAGTGAAGTAATAGCCCTTGAATGCGGAGAAATACGTTTGCTCGAAGCGCTTGTGGTCGCCGGCCACGGTTCGCATCATCGAGGGCCACGGCCGCTTGATCACGAGGATGCCCTCACACGGACCCTGCAGCCCAAAGGATGGACCATTACCAGAACCACCAATTGTCAAGCTCACAACTAATGGCGTAAGACGAGCTTAGTACCAGCCTGCAGAAGCATATATTGTCTAAGCAGTAGCAGGCGCCAACTGTTTACCTGCAGCTCGTTGCCCTTCTCATCCAGCACGGCCGGTTCCACACCGAAGAAGGGCAATGTGGCGCACCCAGGCTTCAGCGGAGTAGCACCCGGCAGAGGTGTAATCATGTGCGAGCCCGTCTCTGTCTGCCACCACGTATCCATGATAGGACACCTGCGACGGACGCGATGGAAGCAAGCGAGGTTTTGGGAAAAAGAGGACGACTCCTCAAATCGTAAGACATGGCTGCCATGCAAAGGCGATAGCATTAAAGGGTTTCTGACAAGCGCCGGCAAGGTTCCATCCGGTCCCACGACAGCAAATGTCAAGTGTCTGTAAAGACTCTGCCTCAAAGTTCTAGTCGTGGCGATACCAGGAACGCGGTGTTTTCTCAGCGATACTGGGTCAGTCCGGCATCCTAATGACAACCTGCCTTACCTGCCGCCGCCCACGACTTCGTAGTACCACCGCCATGCCTCGGGGTTGATCGGCTCGCCCACGGAACCCAGAAGCCGCAGCGACGCCCGAGAATAGCGAGTGACAAAGGCGTCGCCCCGCGCATGGAGAGCGCGGATTGCCGTTGGCGCCGTGTAGAAAATGGTCACCTGTGTACCGAGTATCCAGGAGCACAGCTGGGGCTAAGCTACATTCACAAACCTAACCGCAATTCCGCGCCAAATACCGCCTTCATTTCTGCGTGTTATGAAGTGTATTACCCATTAAATGCTGAATGGGACAAGTTTAAGGGTATCAACACGCTAAAAGCCCCTCCCGTTAACCCCTCCCGTTAGCCCCTCCCGTTACTGGCATCCGTGACCTGCAGGCTCGGATGTCGTCGCACAGCCAGGCGTACCTACCTTGTACTTGTCAACGATGGACCAGCAGCGCCCTGCATCTGGCCAGGTCGGCACGCCCTCAAAGATCACTTGGGTTGCGCCCAGCAGCAGTGGCCCTGACATGCGACAAAGGGAGGGCAGCCAGAGCGGGTAAATTGTGTCTGCCCAACCACATGCGCACAACGCTTGTAGGAGGGTAACGCGGTGTGTGGTGTGCAGCGTGTCGCCTGAGGACACAGCAGTACACAACGCGCGCACGAGGGACATCTAAATCGTGCCCTGGCCATCACAACTGTCAAAGCCATACCGTATGTAACGTAGGTGTGTCCCGTAATCCAGCCGCAGTCGGCTGTGCACCAATACACGTCCGAAACGGGTTGGACGTCGAACACAAACTTGGTAGTCACCATGGCGCCCACCATATAGCCGCCGGCCGTATGCAGGACGCCTTTTGGCTTGCCTGCAGCAAAAATTAAATGCACGTTAGACTCATCGCTTCCTATAGAGGAGGAGGATACCGATGCTGTTGCGTTCACGTGCACATCAAACGGATGGAAATGAGGTTGCGCCCGGCTGAGACAGAGGTGAGGCGACGTTCAACGCGGAAGTTGATCAATTTGATGACACCGGTGATCCGGTGGGGTCCCCCTTGGAGTGCACAACAAATGCACATCTAAATCCAGGATTCGCCCGTATCTTATCCCCAAACACCATGCCCGGCAACGCCAGTCCTCCTTGGAAAAATCCGTGAACCCACCAGTGGAGCCCGAAGTGTACAGCTTGAACAGAGGTGCCTCCGCGGGCATCCATTCCACTGGGCAATCGTCGGGTTGCGAGTCCACCGCCTCGCGCCACGTCACATCTCGTCCCGCCTTCATGGAACCGCCCACGTCGGATAGAGGCAGCTGCTCCAGCATCAACACGTGCTGCGGGCAATAAAGCGTGAGGGAATGGGAAAGGCGCCAAAATGTAAAAAGGATTCCGTGAAGACCAAACAAGGAAGGACCCATGTAAACCAGGGGCCTGAGCTAAGGAGAGTGTAACGGTTGCACATCAGTCGATGCATTTCTGTGCAAGGCCTGTACGTATACTACCAAAGCTGCTGCATGTACTTCACAAAGCCATTGCAGTTAAGAAATTTGGAGTCCCTCTTACGCACGTGGACGGTGTGCCCTTTGCCTTCGCTGATCTGTAGAGCCTCGTCGACAATAGCCTGTTGAGGCACAGCATGACCGCAAGCATAAGCAGTCAGTACAGGAGTCAGTACACATTAGGCATGGCATGGCATGTGTGGATCACATCCATCCATTAGGCATCCACATCCACATCCATCCATCCATTCGGCATGGCATTTTTTCCAACGACCTTGATAGGCATCATAGCGTCATGCGTGGTGATAGGGAGAGTTGCCTGGCCCAAGCCCTGGCAGAAGTGTGTTGAAGTGCAATGTGCGGCACACGCCCTACGCAAGATAACTATTGTGGGTTGTCCGCCGCCTGCGTTGCCGTCTGCGTTGCCTTCTGCTTGCCAATCCATCAGAAGCCCCAGATGCTGTCACGGCGCTATTTTTCTAGAGTCTTGCCATGTGGCCGTAATCTGATCATTCTTCGTGTGGCCAACACGAGTACACCACACATCCCCAAAACGTTGACCCAAATGCCATTTTGTGTACGGCCTTCCCAGCCCCGCTGTGCACCTTGAGCGGGATGGGCTTGGGGCCCCGCATCGTGCCGGATACCGTGATGACCACGTTGGGCGTGCTGTCCAGGATACGGTCCGCCAGCGCCTCCGCACTGAAGCCGCCGAACACGACGCTGTGTATAGCCCCAATGCGCGCACAGGCTAGCTGCAAACAGCAATCAGGACAGCACAGGGAAAGAACCGGCGGGCAACCTTGTAGGCTCATCATTTGGATAGGATGCAAGCTTTTTGCCATTTGCCAACTTCGGCAAAAGGGACATGCGAAATTAGGTTGCATGGACTTCGCGAGGGTGCTGTCCTGCACAGTCGCATGGGGACTCAGGGGAACAGGGCTCCTGGGGACCCAGGGAACTGCGGCTGATCAACGATGCATGTACATACGTTTCGATGCGCAACGACAGCTAGCTGGTCTTCATCCGATCGCGGTTTCTGTCTTCATGATCATGGTAACTCGCAGCTTAGCTGGCATGGCTGGATTTGCTTTTCGCTTCATTCAAATGATGACGGGCTCACATGCGATGAAGCTAACCAACCATGCTATGGATACTTGCCATCGCCGCTGGAAGCTCGGGCACCAACGACATATACAGAGTCACGTCATCCCCACGTTTCACCCCCACGGACTTCAGGTAGTTCGCGATGCGGCAAACCATGCTCTTCAACTGCGCGTACGTCACCGTGCGCTCCTGCAGTACAGGGGAAAGGCACAGTACTTCACAGGGCCGTGGGCAGCAAGCGGGGCCGCCTGCAGTGCTGGATCACTGCCCGGGGAGGTCTGCCCGGGGAGGGTCTAGACAGTGCATAGGCCTCTCCTGTGCGCTAATGTGCATATCCACGCCGCTAGAATATTTCCTTGATATATACATTTAGGAAGGGTGTATCTCAGAGGGCCGGAATGAAACTCGACGCAAATAGCTGTCCTCGACGCGACCGGGATGCTGATAAAATAGGCTCTATCGCAAGCGTAGAGCACCAGTACTGTCTCACCACGCCCTCGTCGTTTCCTTCCCAGTAGAAGGCTACGCGATCGCCGAGACCAGCTTCCACATTGCGGTCGACCGCATTCCACGAAATGTTGGTTTCCGCGCCGTCAAACCACGAGATGTTCACAGGACCATTCTCTATGTTCAGGTTGTACCTACGAAATGCAGGGTATTAGGTTATCGAAATCTGGTAGCCCAAAACTCCGGAACGCAACCTCACTTGCAAATCGGGGAGGACCACTTCTTATGCCAGGTCAAGGTCTCCGCCTGCTCGCTCCAAAATGAGTCAGGATCAGACAGGCTACGTTCATAGAGGTCCTTGTAGCCAGATAGCCCTTGCACGTATGCACGCTCAACAATGGCATCCGGCGGAAAAAACTTATCATCTATGGATGCCTGCTCCTTTGTTTTCTGGTCGCCTGCGTCGGACATGGCTGGCTAGGATTATGGTTACAGATTCCTTCCGCAGCAAGAAAACCAGTCCAAATTTTCAAATCTGTGTATGTTCCAATGGCTTTCAGCACCTAGATACAAGAGATATGATCAAACAAGCTCCTGCTGATCTTTGATAACAATCCTAGCAAGTTCACAGGTGCCAATCGGTTACCATGAAACGTACGATCTCGTCCTGTCCGGCGTGGAGGGCGGTTTATAGCTTATGGGACATCGGGAATCTGGTACTTTGCAAAAAGCCTGTTTTCATACCCTGTAAATGCAATCCGGAATGTATGTGTGGTCTAATTTGTGAGCCAACGAAAAAGCTGGACCCGGACCGTGGGGCAGTGCCACAGCAAAACAGTTTCTAACGGGTTGTCCTAATCTAGATCACCAGCTGGGACGATATTTCGCCAGGAAACTCAATGTCTGTGCGTCCTCGCATGTAATGAACACGGAACTCTGATTTCAATTTTATTGTGTGGTCAAGGCGGTGTTTGGAGAGGGTGGGAGGGTGTGGCAGGTCTGCAGGCGAGTCGGTACAACACGCGGAAAGCCTTTCCCTTCGTTGTGGATACGGGGAATGCATTTTAGCTCATTCAATTCTGTCTACGCCCATCATAAGGTCGGACTCGGCCGGCTTAACTTCCCCCCGTGTTCGTCGCGGGCGTACAGCGACGTGGTTTGATCCCGAAATACATTGTAACTCGCTTGCTATGCAAACTTCATACATAGATCCATGCACCGCGCATGGCTGCGAGACTAGTTCTCAGCTTACTTAACGACAACGCTTAGACGACTCCCACCTTGGGCAGCACTGGCCCCGGCCGAGACTTCCGCGGCCTTTTGAGCCTTTGTGATTATCTACGTTGACACGCGTCCATATACAAGTTACAAGTTCCGCACACAAGTGCGGGTGTGTCCGTAAAAGCCGGGGGGGCCATGGACGTTGTATTGGTATTGATGCGGGTACGCGGGAGGTCATCTTCATTCTCCCTCGTCCGCTTCAGGGCGAAGCGCCTCAGCGCGACGTGCCTGGCCTGCCAAATTTCCGAGAGGTACCTGGCCAATGCCAGGGGTGGCGCCTCAGTCATAATGGTGCGCATGCTGCGCCCCGTAAGGACTAGGTCACCACATCATAGTTAGCCCGTATGCTCATGTAAGCGGGACATTCTTCGAAAACATGCAACTCATCTTCAACCGCTCCACAGTCACAAAGCCTGCAGGTACGCGCGGTGCGCTCACGCCCATTAGGCCTATTAACTTCTAACTCCCAGCAGCCTAATCGAAAACACATGAGCACATGATGAAGTCGGGGCATGGTCCCTTTAGTGTGCTCCAACCAATCGAGACGCGCACCCTTAGGCGGGGCAGCTCCCATCCAGTTCATATAGCGACACGCCTTGGCTCCGGTAATCCCTATGGGGAAGACGCGGGGGTCACCCAAGGTATTCGGGCACTCCCTGCATCAAGCCGCTTGGCAAAAACCTTAAGAAAGCTCTTAACTGGCAATTCAAGGGTGGCGTAGTACGCTATAAGATCATTACCACGCGTATTAGTGGGGGGTTCCGCTCCTAAGCTAGTAAGAAAGGCTAGTACCTTGCTTGTCCAACACTCAGTGACGCCCCCAAGTGCCAACTCCAGGTCAGCGACAAATGCCCGGTGACACAGCGTTCCCGGCCTCTTAACCACAGAGTTCCAAAACCTAAGTACAAGATTGGTTCAATGGAACTTGAGTGGTCTCTGTGACAGCTCGCGATATAGGGAAACCATAGTCGGGCTCCTCGCCCCAACTACGGTTCGCATGTATGCACGCTGTTCCTGGACCATGGGATTAGTCATGGCACCTTCAAAATTCACATTTATGAAGTCAGGTCCCCAAACTTGCGCTCCATAGGAAAACACCGGTACAACTAGTGTATTGTAGAAAGACATACATAGCTTGGGGGTGGTAATTTTCTTATCTCGACACAGGGTGCTGAGCCCAAACGTGGCCCGCCTCCCTGCTGTGAGTAGTTCCTTGGTACATGCTGAGAACTGCACTCCTGGGCCATAGTGCAACCCGAGATACCGTGCCGTCTCGTTGCGGGTCAGCACCCGCAACCCCGCCCCACCTAACCGGTACTCAGCTTCCATAAGCCGCTTCCGCTCATGCGTAGCACCCCCAAAAATGAGGACCTCGCACTTGGCGGCATTCGCGGCCATACCCGTCGCTTTGCAGTAGGCTTCGAGTAGCCCCAGAAGGCACTCTGCTCTATTGTGCCCTGTCGCTACCAGTGACACATTGTCAACGAAAAGTAGATTAGTGAGTTCATAGATGTACCTAAATGTGTGTGTATGTATCCCATATTTAAACCATGGCAGATAATGGCGATGGGGTCGCTTTCTTGGGGGGGGTGTTCAAATCCCGGAATTCCTCGTAATGGTGAATTTAGGCGATTTCCGATCCCATGCGCCCTGTGGCATGGACGACGGCGAACAGAAGCGTGGAAGCGGGGGGGCTGCGAAGCACCTCTAGAGGGCATGCGGTTGCGCCGACATGGTAGGTGTGACATGGGTGTTGCGAATCCGCGCGTACATCCACAATGGCCTTGACGTCGAAAGGCTGCAACTGCTCAGTCGGTCGACTTTGTCGAAGGCCCCCGCCTTTCCTAAGGCTGCTGGGTGTTGCCTCTCTCTCCCTCTTCCCCTATCTCCTTGATGAGCACCCTGTCCATTGTTTGTGTCCTGGGTGATTGCGGGAAGTATGTGTGCCCCAACCGCCACTAGGCCAACCCAGAGACCACAGAGACGTTGGGGGCTATCATATCCTGTCGCACCCTGTGCCGCCCCGCTGACCACAACCAACTCAACAACCATGTGAGTGGTTCATGGCGTGGCGCTTGTGTCAGGCAGCCCCGAATGGCGGCAGTGTTTCAGGGGAGGGCGGACTCCGCGTGCTTTCTCCTCTCCTCTCCTGCCCTGCCCCGTCTTCGTAACGGTTTGGGATCCAGAAGCTAGCGGCGGGCTGGTCCCCCATGTTGACCGCCATGTTGACCTGTTGGCAGTGCCCAGCTGCCTGCGCCTGTGATTCCAGCCATCCGCACCATTGCCAGTTGCGTCCCCACCTCCTGCCTGAAGGACCCCTGCCTACTCACAGCTCTCAAAAGTACAGCAAATCTTTGAGGCACCGCCCATAACGAGTATCCATGGATAACGTATTTCAAACCGATGATAACCGGACCAATGGATGCTGAAAACAAATCCCGTTAGCTTGGAAAGCTGCTGGAGCTATTGGGGCACAGCACGAGGGATTTGATTATGATTACATGAGGTGCTGCTGTGCAGCAGTAGGTATAATAATAATAATAACAACGAACATAAGGCTAAGGGGGGCATGTTTGTGCACCCGTTCGCTCGCCCATCGCAGGGATAGACGTGAGACCGCCAGGCAGCGATGAGAGCTCGGCTCAACCGTGCCTCAACGCATTTGAGCACACAAGTGGGCGTGTGCTCCGCAGCAGCCATGCAATCCCACAACTACCACAACTACCACAACCACCATCTTCAACAAAATCCTCCAATACGGCTCACACCCCGTACCACGACGCATGGCATCCTGTCATGAATATCACAAGATACAGCTCAAGTCCTAGGTGTCCACGAGGTAACGCAGTATGAGGGAAGCCTGCAGGCTTATCCGACAACTCACACATCCTGCCTTTCGATCGCCCCAATCGCCCCTCCGAATCAATGCCGATGTCAGGCGCTGTGTGAGTATGAACAGGGCTCCTGCTATGGCAGCGGACGTACCACCACTCACCCAAGAACATAAACTCGCAGGTGTGACCACAACCTCCCCCCTAACATCAACCTGTTTCACACAACCCATTGCGCAGCTGGGTAGTCTCACTGCAGCTAAGGCCAGCCGCGCAAGGCCTCTATGTTTGCCAGGGCCGACGGGAAGGATGAGATTTGGTGAAAAGGAAATATATCGCAGGAGACCGCACTCTTGCATCATGCGCGCATGTGTGCCCTCCTTTGCCCTCCAGAGCCCCCACAGCCAGAGCGAAGGAGCGGCCCTAATGAAAAAACCGACAGCACAGAAAAAAGCGCGACACGAGGGACGGGCGGAGGGACGGGAAACAAGCATCCGTTCAATTGTGTTCATTACAGAAGGAGCAGGCAGGCTTAGAAATATCGAAATGACGGGCTGGTACCTAAACCGAACTACTTCACGTCCGGACGCCGGACACTCACATGCAGCAGCAGCAAATCCGTCAGCAGCGGCAAATCCGAAGCCGTACCTAACGCCGCTGCAATCAGCGGAGCTACTCGAGGCAATAGTAAATTATACGAAAAACAAAACAAACTTGGCATGTGCTGCATTGCGTACGACATTGACCGAGGAAAGGCCGGCCCGCTAGCAGGACTCCCTGCTTGCCGCCCGTCGCCTCATCACAAGCGCGTGGACAAGGAGCTACATCCCCGCACACCCCACTGCCCCCCTAACCTCCTCAAACTGATTCGCAATGTGTGCATATAAATTGACAGCAAACAGTACCAACCCGGGCGTACAAGCCTTAGAATCTGGGTTTTCCACACCTCGCAGTGTCGACCTCATCAGCTGACCAAATTTCACATTACCAAGTTAAGGCAGCTGCTACGATGGCAGCGGCGCTGGTTCACACAGGCGCCGCGCCGCGTGTGCCTACAGTATGCATTCGTACATTGCATCTGCCGACACGTATGAAGCCGTGTCGGTGCTCCCATGCGGGGCCACGTTTGTTTTTTCTGAGTTAACAGGGCTTCGGGGAGAGAGTTGAATATCTGCATATCTGCTCGCTGCTCCGAAACCTTTCATCCAGCAATATCCGCACCACAACAACGCGATGCGGTCCACTCAGCAGGCTTCCAAAGTACGGAGATCCAATGATGAAAACGAGCAACCCCAAAAGCAAAATCCATAACAAAGTAGCACAGTCCCTATCCTGCGCACCACCACGTCACTACTGCAA